CATGCTTCCATCTCTGTAATGCTGTGGTTTGGGTTAACCAGGAAAGTAAGATGGGACAGTTATGAAAGATCTGCTAAAATCTGGTGATATAACATGCATTGTTTTGGTGCTTTGTGATAGAAGGTCCAGTTCACCAAATCTGCTTGGCAACAGGCTCTGGTCCTCACGTGTAGAAGAAAAAGATTTTTTTATTTTATTTTGAGTTTTCTGAATTCTGAAGTGACATTTTGATTCTCTATTGCCACCTCATGATAGATTTGTGTTTTGCACCATTGTAGCTATAGTAGAAGTGGTGGCCCTCACAGAAGTCACAGAACATGGGCCACACAAAGGCATAAAGACGTGTGTGTGTAGTATTTTTAGTGTAGGTGGGTCATTTTGACTTGGTCATTTGAAAAGTAGCTCACAAGGCAAAAAAGTGTGGGCACCCCTGCTTTAGTGTTTCTAGTTGGAGCTTGTGGAGACTGATAATTGTCCTCAAGTGATGTCTCTTGAGTTAAGTGTTGGTGGGGTCTGAAAGAATCTTTGCTGCAGGCTACATTAGCTGCTACTACATATCCTGAACACAGACTGTTTGAACTCCTCCCCTCTGGACGGTGCTACAGCCAGACACAAGGACAGTTTGTACTGGAAATTTTATGGTAGCATCCTTTTAAGTTTATTGGCTCAAGCTCCTCTCCTATGGAACCAACTCCCAGTTTCAGTTCGAGAGCACACTCTCTACCTTTAAGAGTAGACTTAAGACTTTGCTTTTTGATAAAGCTTATAGTTAGGGCTGGATCAGGTGACCCTGAGCCTTCCCTTAGTTATGCTGCTATAGGCCTAGGCTGCTGGGGGGCCCCATGATGCTCTGAGTTTCTCTCCTCCCCTCCCCTCTCCTCTCCTCTCTCCTCTCCTTTCCTCTCTCTCTCTATGTCATGATCCTACCCTGCTGGCTTCCGGTTCCCTGCTTTTACTCTGAAAGTACTTCCTGTTCCCAGCTCACCCAGACTCATGGACACTTTACGTCGTCATTCTCAAGTGCCTTCACCTGCTGTTTAATTACTCACACCTGCTCCCCTCAGTATATAGCAGCTCCTCACCTTTTGGGGCGCTGCCAGATTGTTCTTTGCCTAGTCTAGACTCTCCAGCATTTATTCTAGTACCTGTCATTCTGATAACGAAATCTTGCCTGCTCTGGACTAACAATATTTGCCTTGCCCCTATTGTTGGACTGCTACGCCTGTAATTGACACCCTGCCTGAACTATCGACCGGAGATCCTGCCTCATCCCTACTATCGGACTGCTACGCTGGCTATCAACACCCTGCCTGGATTACAGACCTGTGATTCTGCCTTATCCTCTCTGCCTGTAAGACTGTTTCTCCTGCTCCTGAGCTCTCCCAATCTGACAATTAAACATCACTGTGTTGTCTCTACTGGCTTTTTAATTTGGTTCACTCCTTAAACAATAATGGAAGCTGCACCGGTGGTGTTTCAATCCTTTGATGCCCAACAATGTCCCCTAACGACTGATTCGTTATAGCCCAGGATCGGTGAGCGTCGTTACCTGTCTTTGAACCCTCACCTGTGGACCGACACCTATTGTCCCGGTGGACATGTGTGGGCAGAGATCTCAAAACAGAGTTGTAGATGGATGACAAGTTGTGTCTTAGTCCACCCCTATTTAGTGAGGTGTGTTCTATTTGAACAAAAATTGCTTATTTCGCTCCTCTCTCAAACCAGCTATGTTCTCTGGAGAGGATCTGGACTTCACTGCCCTCGAAAGAATGTCCTTTGCCCTTCAGGTGGAGGTGGACTGCTGACTCTGGTCCACTGGGGTTGGCCCCCCTGTGTTGGGCCATGCGCTTGTGCAGCGGCTGCTTAGTTTCACAAACGTACAAGTCATTACACTCCTGACTACACTTCATCACTCTGTTTGTTTCTGGGTGTTTTGTCCTTCGGGTGGACCAGTCTTTGCCGCAGGGTGTTCCCTGGCTTAAAGTTGACTAGGATATTGTGGTTGCGAAAGATCCTTTATATATGTCATTCACATAGCGGAACCAGTGGCTGGGAGCAGGACCAGGGAAGGAAAAAAATCTTGTTTCTGGTTTCTCCCTGTTGGTGTTTGGCCTCTTCCTTGCTTTGGCGAAGGCCCACTTGGGGTATCCACAAGCCTTAAGGGAGTTCTGGATGTGTAATTTCTCCTTCTTGGCTCTTCTGCAGTTGTGGGCACTTCCTCTGCCCTGTGATTTAGAGTTGTGATGTCTCCCAGTTTGTGTTGAAGTAAATAGTCTGAATCAAAAAGCAAGTATTGGTCCGTGTGTGTAGGTTTCCGATATACTTCTACCTTCAGGCTTCTGTCCCCTCCCAAGTGGACTGCAAAATCCAAAAAGACCAGACAGTCATCTCTGGCATCCTCACAAGTGAAATTGATGTTGATATCCACAGAGTTGATAGGCTTGGTGAAAGCCTCTACCACCTGATTTTTACCCATGTGTTGTCCATGTAGCGACACCAGTGGCTGGGAGCGGTACCAGTGAAGGAAGACAGGGCTTTCTCCTCAATTTCTTCCATGTACAGGTTGGCAACTATAGGACACACCGAGGAGCCCATTGCACAGCCGTGTTGCTGCCTATAGAAGTGCTCCCTAAACTGGAAGTAGGTAGTGTTTAAACAGAGTTCCAGCAGAGTGCATACATGGTCTGGGGTGAGGTTAGTCCTGCTGTTCAGCATGTCATCCTTCAGGAGTCTCTTCTTTACCATCTTGACAGCTTCTGTGGTGGGGATGCAAGTGAACAAGGATGTGACATCATATGAGACCATGGTCTTGTCCTGGTCCAGCTGCAGTTGTTGGACTTTCCTTGTGAAGTCCTGGGAGTTACTTATGTGGTTTTTGTGTTTCCCACCAAAGGAGCCAGAATGGTGGCCACGTGATTAGCTATGTTGTAAGTCACAGAGTTGATGCTGCTGACAATGGGTCTGCGTGGGGCTCCTTCCTTGTGTATTTTGGGTAGGCCATATTAAGGTATGGGATGGCCTCTCTGGGGTATAGTCTGTATATAATTGCCAGTCAATAACTCCCTCCTTTTCCAGCTTCTGTGGTAGAGATAGTTTTACACAGATAAAAGATTCAATGAAGAATATTTCACATAGTGATATATGCAAGCCAAAGATTTTGTTTTCCAATTCAATGAAACTCCCTCTTCTTCAGATATATTTGACAGTTTTTGTATTTTTGGAAACCTTGGGACCTCAGAATGTGAGGCAAAGGTTTGTAGCTTTGTACAAAGCTTACTGTAGCTGCACAGCATGAAATTCTCATGGCTGGCATGGCAGTAGGCTGCTTATAGAGTCACAGCAAAGTTGATGATTGCCTTAGTGGACTCGCAACAAGTTTCTAATAATGAGATATTTCTGTATATTCATGGGTATATTTTAGTACAGAGAGCTGCAGGCATTTCACCTGAGCTAAGAGGTGGGACCACAGCAACCCTGTCTCAGGCTCCTTACACTGGCTACTTTAAGGTTCCTTGTGGCCTTGCTCCTTGCTATATTTCTGACATTTAGGACCACAGCATAAGCCTCTGTCTGGCTTGAGATCATTGGACATACATGTAGGTCTCTTGTTTCAGAGTCTTGCTGGTAACATCTTTGTTCCAGAAGTATTACAGGAAAATGTACTCAACATATCAAAAGCAGAATTATTAAACACAAGCGCTCTTAGTCACTGTGTTAGAGTCGCTCATACACGGAAGTGAGCGAGTGGTAAAAAAGAGGCGGACCCAGGTAACCGATTTTGGTGCAAGCTGTGATTTATTATATACAGCGCGGTGACTTTACAAACAAACAGTTTGTGGATACTAAATATATGGAGTATCCCGGTGTCGACCAGCAGCAGGAGGTGTGGAGTGATGAGGTGGATGAGATGGACGAGGTGGGCCGAGCTGCGTAGTAGGGTCACTCCTGGGCTGGTCGGTGGTTGATGATGGCTACTGAAAAGACACAGAGATACGTAGGGTATGGCAGAAACACTCAGTGACTGTGCATCAACCTGTCTGAGAGGGAAGAATGGAGCCACGGGCCAGAGGAAACAGTCCGGGAAGAAAACAGGAGCTAGAAGATAAACGCACAGAAAATCCAGAGTCATAAACAAAATGGGTACGTAGAACAATGCTAAACAACACGAGGAGAAAATTCACAGAGAATAGCTTGGTGACAAGAACGAACTGGCAAGTGAATGAGAGGTGAACCGGGCATAAGTAACGAATAGCCTAATCAAGTGCAGCTGGTGATAAGGGAGTGAGGAACAGGTGAACGGGATTAGTAATCAGGGGCTAATAGAGAGAGACAGAGTAAGAAAGGTGAGAGAGGCCAGAGTGGCCGGGCAAACCTGACACACTGTCACTGTTACATTACTGACATATTAACATGTTGGAAGGAATGCCCTAATTTGAATAATTTTATGCACTTTTTGGTAGTTGAACCTATAGCAATGCAATGTATCATATTTTATAAACTAATAATAGCTATGTAAAATAGAAAGTTTTTGCAGTCAGGAAATAAACTGCAGTCAGATTCAACTATCTCTTCTTAAAACATGCATTTATTTTAGCTTATCTTGTTTTTGTTTTTTTACTTGAGTTGTGTTTTTACTTCTTTTATCTTAAATTATAAGATTTTTTTCACAATTTTATTCATGTCCACTGAATTTCACTTGTTATCTATAAGATCCATAATCACTTTTCCATTTGAGGGTCATGGGGGACTGGAACTGTCCTAGTCTATCGCTGGACCAACACACAGGGACAGACAACCACTCACACTCACATCTTACTTGTAAGATACTTATCTCTATTTGAATTTAGTATTATTGATTTGAATGTTCTGCCTTGTGTGAAGCATTTTGTAACCTAGTTTTTGAATAGTGCTCTGAAAGTAAAGATAATTATTTTCATAGCAATCATTTTCCACTTTTCAATTCAACCATTAAGTCATAAACTAACACTGTAGACAACAACAGAGGGCAGCAGAGTGTTGTGGTGTGTTGAGCCAGTCGTCCCTACCAGACAACTGTATATCTATAAGGAAGGAAGGTGAGCTGATTTGATCACAGCAGTAGATGTAGTGTGATTTATTGGCTCTCATCACAGGTTTGGTATGCACTTAGATGCAAGATGTAGCCAGACCTGCCAAGATGAATGGAGGCAGGGATCCTTGGGGTGCTACATCCTCCCTTCCCTTTCTTGGCACTGGTATAATTGCTGAGGTTGCCTAGCGACCAGAAGCATGGAAACAGAAGGTGTCACTTGTTACCTCAGAGCTGGATTTAGCCAAATTGTAAAATAGCCACTGTTAGATCATGTTACTAAAGATAAGCAGGAGACAGAGGTCACTGTGAGGGCCACTGTGTCCTGACTGTATATTTCCTTTTTTTAATGACACATTACATTAGCATATACATAGAGTAAAAAGCCAGCCCTAGATTGGACAAAAATGTAAATTAATATAATGCGGAGTAGGCTAATATATTATAGTTTTTACTGCATTGTGACCATTATTAATATTTTAAAAATGATTTTATTATAAGTGTTATGCATCATATTACCTACCTCTTCAACACACATTTTGTTTCTTTTCTAATTAGCTACCTTGCTGGTGTCAGTTACAGGCCACTGTAAAGTGGGAGTGAGGTCCTATAGTTTAATCTGTAGGTGGAGAGCCGTTTTATCAATGTTTGATTCACTTTGTCATCCATAGAGGCTGATAAAGCTAAATTAATGAATAACTAAATTCAAGTATGATTTAGCAAATAAAACAATTAGAGCTGCAGTTATCAAAATGTTTACATTGACAATATGACAAATGGCCATGTGTAGCTCTCTGTGATGAAACCTCAGAGAATTAGCACTTGATTCTACATTTCACCCACAGAGTGTTTTAGCATCTTTTGGCTCATTGTTTTGACTTTGCAGCCTACAGCTTTAGTTTAGTTTAAATGCTCTCATCACTGTCTTTGCCGGCAGCACCAGGGAGTGAGCTTAGATAAACCCACTGTGCTTCCCAGCACCAAGTGTGAAGTGGGCTATCTCTACATTTGACCAAAGCTGATATGCTAGCTAGCATCTTGAACTGAGTTAGTCTCCAAGCTCACTGTTGTGTTTATTAAAAAAAAAATTAACCTGACAGTCCTTTCCAATGTAAACCATGGCTCAGCTAAGACACTGTATTAGGATCACTTCAAAAAAAGATATTGCAGATTCCCACATGTCAAATATACACCAGATAATTAGTTTATCAAGTCTGGCCACAAATTTATTTCAAATGACTTTACAAACTGTACAACATGGAACATTCTATTTTAAGAGATTAGACAGCAGTGCAAGTATAGTATAGAATGGCATTATTAAGGAAATTAAGTACATTCTTCATTTAAATAAGTGAAATAACCTGAGCAGTCTCAGGTAAACTATAACACTGTGTGAAATGAAGACTGTGAAAGAATCATGTGAATGACTGACCTGACTGCAGAGAAGATCACCAGGACTCCACTGCCCTCTCTGCAGAGCATTTACCACTGCAGGTTGTGTAGGAAAGCTGCCTCCATCCTCAAAGATCCCACTCACCCCCAGCACGGACTGTTCACCTCCTTACCCTCTGGCCGGAGGTTCAGAAGTGTGAAATGCAGGACCAAAAAATTGCACATTGACTGTTGACTGCTGCACATGCTGCTCCCATGCAGCATACACTCTCTTATTATATTCTTATATATTTTTATTATATTGCTGCATTTGCTGCTTAAAGTGCCTTAGATTTAGTGTTACTTATTTATCTACTTTATATTTCATTTGTATTTTGTGGCATTCATGTGGACAGCAAAGTAAGATTTTCATTGTACAGGGAAACGCGTTTCCTAACTGTGCATATGACAAATAAACACTTTGACTTCCTTTGACTTGACCTGCACTGGCAACATTTGCACTGTGTTATGTGTCTGTAACTGAAGTCATTCACTGCACTCCCCAGTCTATCCCACAAATTTCCCAGATGATTTGAAAAACCTTTTATTCTCAGTATCATTTCCCAGCAAGTCTGCATGTTGACCCTGCGATGGACCAGTGACCTGTCCAGGGTGTACCCCGCCTTTCATCCGATGCCGGCTGGGAGTTGGCTCCAGCCCCCCCGCGACCCTGTTTGGGACTAAGCAATATAGAAAATGAGATGAGAGAGATGAGATTTCCAAGCAAGATGTCATTCAAGGCCTGTCATTCTAATTCTTGATCATTTTCTTTGCGATCAGTCCTTTTCTCACCTGCCTCCACTCCTCTTTTCTTATCTCCCCATTATTAGTCTCTTATTCCCTCATCTCCTCCTCCCCATCTCTTCTTTTTCTCTGCATCTTTCCACATCTCTCTTCCACCAATAAACCCATCCTACAATCTGTACTAGAATTTCCTCTCTCCTTTCCTGTCTCTATTCATCCTCATTATTTACTTTTCTGTATCCCCCACTGTCAGCTTCTCTCAGGCTTCCACTAACTGTTTAGATGTCTCCCTTCCCCTCTCTTCTACTGTATACCTCCATCTCTGCCTCCATCTCTGGTGTGCACACAGCGGATGCAGCGGCCCACTCAGTCCTCTCAGGAAGCAGAAGGTTTGTCCACTCCCACTCAGGCTTTGCGTCATGGAACACAGAGAAACAGAGACAGAGGAGAGGGAACAGATGGGAGGAGGACACACTTGCTGCCTGTTTTATAACATTACTTGTAACAATGCTGTGGTCATCAGTATGGCTATGTAAAGTAACAGGCTATTATAGACTCATCAAGCAGGCTTATATATAGGCCTGTGCTGCTTATAGAGGAGAAGCAGCTGACAATTTTGGTGTGAAATTTAGTTCCACACTTTGGAAAAGATTAAAAGGTTTACTTATGATTCTGAAAGGAACCATTCAAAATGATACAGTGCTTTGTAAAAAGTCTAACCTTTGTAGAGAAAACATTGAGTGTATTTCAGAGCATGGCTTATATCATGCCCATGATTGTTTTAACAATCATCAGGAAGTGTTTTATTTTCAATTTTAATCAACAGGACCCAACATCTCTGACCATAAGCTCACCCTCAGAGATCTGTTACCAATCTGAGGGCTTTACTATCACAAGACTTGTGTAACCATAGCGACCTGAATCACATCAGTGCTTGACATCATAACTGACACAATCACTCCCATTTACGCAAGTGGAAAGACAATTCTGCTTTTAGAGTTTTATGCCTGTGCTAGCTCCTACCTATGACTTTAAATGAGCATTACAATAGACTGGGGCTGGAAATGATGATAATAAAAAAAGATGCTGTATTTTATAAGTGGCACAGAGGTACAGTATACTGATAAGACAGCATGTTCAAATGCAAATGCTGTTTACTGGATTTACACAACAGAACAAAACAAAATGATATCTGTAGCGCCACATAAATAAGAGATTAGATCTCATTGCAAATGAATAGTCAAATCTTGGTCACGATGAAAGAAAAAATCCACCCTGTAAGAGAATTCCCATATTTTTCCCATTGATCTTGGACAGCTGTATTAAGATATACGGACCAGAGACCAGCATGTGATGTGATTTCTGGAACAGCCTCAGTGATAATGAATTAGAGACTAAATGTGAAGACACACTGCCAGTACCCAGGGTGGCTTTTCTTGATTAAGTGAGAATGTCTTTTGGCTCAGTGCTGCAATGTAAGTAAAGATGTGGGTGTAAAAGCATAATGAAATGTTCAAAAGTCTACAAAAACAGCCAGCTTCATATTGTCACAGTAGATCCACAGTTTAGTTTGATTTCAGCATTATGAGAGCTGCTGAGATAATTATGATCTTGAGTATTAAATGTGTGATTATATTCAGCTGCTGCTTTTTCCCTCAAACACAAAATGCATTAGCTTTCTGATCAGTCCATAGAGGTATACAATTTAAAAGATAAGAACACCAGCTTGTACAGAAAGATCATAGAGAATGTAACTATAACATTAAAGCAGCTGTTAAGAGTAGTTGGTGTGTTGCTATTCATATTTTTGACAACATAACTTTTGTGTGATTTTGCACCACATATGGTAAAACCTGCTTAATAAATAGTTCCACATTTTGGGAAATATATTTATTTGCTGAGATGAGAACAGTTACTGTACATAAGAAGATTGATATCACTCCCATGGCTATAAACGTGAAGCCATATTTTAAAAACTACTGACTACTGTGAAATATTACAGAGCTCCTACATCAATTCATATCAATGTGGCCCAGCCTACTACTTGAATAGACAAGCTGTTTTATCTTGTCAGATCAGCATTTTCACCCCCCTTTGTGACTTTATCTGGTTGGAGGCTTATGACTCACATTTGGCTCTGCTGAACTGAACAGTTTAAACAGTTTACAACATTCGGTACTGTTGTCCAAGATGCTGATCCTGGGACCACCAGTGATGCGGGATCTGTCAATGTTATATCATAAATCTGCTGACCGGAATGAAATCAAAGGGAATGAAATCTTCTCTGATGGCAGGATTTAGAGTTTTTTTGGAATTTTTTTTTTACTCTTGACCCCATCTGGATACAAAGTCCTGTATATTGTGATCAGTGAGAATCCAGAGCCTGCTACAGGCCTTGCATGTTGTTTCTTCATGCAGTCAAGTAATTGTTGCTTTTACAGTTTTTTGCAATTACTAACTAACTAACTAAAATGACACACTTGGCACAATTATACAAAACTGATACGAAGGGAGCAAAAATTCAGCTCAACTCACCATAAACAATGCTTTGCACTCATGTTTCAGTTTAACTTAATACTTTCTGCAGAACACTACACACAGTTCTCCACATAAGACAGAAATCTGCCATGAAGTCACTTGGTGGCCATTTCAAATCACTGCCATTCAAAATGCCACACTCCTGAACCGATTAGAAAAAACGTTACCTGGCCAAACACCTAATAGCCTAATTGCATTAATCAAGATGTTAGCACTATAAAAAAGACAGCAGGTGAGTGACCTGCTTACAACAACAGAAGTCTATCTAGCAGGTGGAGGTAGACGTCAAACAGAGGGAGAGGAGGTCGACTGCTTTGACAAGCAATGGAAGAGACACAATGCTGTTGAAGAGGTGGCTGCTGAGGCCTGAATACGACACTTGAGGTGTTTCTTCTCTTGCTGTCTAGCCATGGAGGACACTGCATGTGATGTTGATGAGGTGCTGTGGCCAGACCAAGCTAGGTAGCATGATGCAGCCCATCCTGTTCTGGGAATGCAGTATCTCAGGAATAGTATCTCCGGAATGCCTTGCTTGAGTGGATTTCTTCCGGTTTGGCACAATGTCCACTTGGACTCAAAGATGAACTGATTAGATTTTGGTGGTCAAAGGTCAAGCTCAAAAACCTGTGAATCTGATTGGCTGGCAGAGGCATACAACCACAGTGCTGTATTTCTAGTTGTTTTTTGTTTGTTTACAGTACAATTGATATATTGTGTTTGCACAGCTTAATATCCACTGTGCTATGTGTAGCACTAATTTGCTGTGAAGAAAAAAACCAAATCTTTGTTTTTGTATTGAAATTTGTATTTTGTGCAGGTTTCTGTGAACTTCAATGGTCTTTCCCTGCAGAATCCTCTTATAATTAAAAGGCCACCAAATTTAAGTGTGCTTTGAAATTTTGCACAGCATTGTGTTGCTTCCTAAAAATAAAGTCAGTTAATGTGAATAAGTGTTTAATTTTGATAAGTGTTTTTGTAGTTGCATGCATAATGCTTCATTTTGCAGGGTGTGTGAAGTATTTTGCACTTTGGATGTGTGGTTGTTTGAATTGTGTTGTGTTTTGAGACAATCAGTCCTGTTGCCAAAATTGTGTGTTAGCAATTGAAAATTGTAATTTGCATTCAAATGTTTTATCTATTTGTATGCATTGTGTTAAGCACTTTGAATTGCCTTTATATATGAAAATGCACTATACAAATAAACTTACTTAGCCCATTTGAACAAATTTTGCTGTGTTTGCCAGACAATGAATCTAATGTTTCTGCTGATCCCTTGACCTTTCCTCTACCACCACTGTCAGGCCACAACCTCCACTTCTAGATAAGACAAAATTTAATATGTTTTCTTTATTCAAAATTATGGAATATAATTAATATTGCAGCCATTTAGTCTTCAAATAACTATTCGGTCTTGTTTAGATGCTTTGCAATGTAACAGAGTAACATAATACCAATAAAAATTCCTCCGATGTACAACTGTTGACAGGCCATTCCTCCTTTGCGTTAAAGGCTGTACCTTCCCTGCACCATACCACATGTTTGAAAATACATTACAGACCATTTAAAGATTGTAAAGATTCAGTTGCAGTGAGATGAAGAGATAAAAACACTTCACGAGATTATCTTTTATTATTTATTGCTTTCTTTTACATATTAACAGGGTATCATGCTGACGCAAATTGGGGAGTTGTGAACCGGTGTGTGGTGCTTGGTGCCTCTGACTCTGTATGTGCGTGTGCGTGCGTGTGTGTGAGTCATGT